ACTTTGGCAACACCGTCAGGCTGACGCGAGACAACCACTTTAAACTGAAGCAGACGTGGATGCTCTATGTTTTTCGTCGCACCAGAGCTACCGAAAAAATAATCGTCTTTGGTGTATCCCAGCCACCGACTTCATGCTTTAACTCCACCTAATAATAATAAACATGTGGGGAACGGTCTGGATCGTATGGGAACACCGTACACAGTGCCGTGAGAAGGATGACTTTTTCTTCGATGTTTGTACTTATGGCGTCGACTCTCTTTTAATACGCGGGACTTATTTTATTCGTGTAGTTATTTTTACTTTGAGTTTTGTTCACACAGATACGTACGCATAACATGTGGCAGCAAAATTACAATTTACCGAACACTTTGTTTATCCTGAGAAGATGTCATGACGGCAGTGATATAAGTCCGCAGAATAAAGCAAGTTTGAGAATGATACTTCTGAAATCAGCGTCGCAAATTAAATAAAAATATCGTTTTCTTGTAGCTAGAGGGTATAGAAATTGAAATTGTACATCAAAGTCGTATGGAGAACTGCTATAAGAAAGCAAAATGTATATCATCTATCTATGCTCTGGACTGGTGCCAGGAGAAAATTGGTATGAGTTCGATATCAGTTTGGCGATAAAGCTAACAGGGTATCACAAGAAACTTTTCCTGTTCTGAAATAAATCCGAATATGTTAGGAGCCAAGTCTACATGTTTACATGACTGTGTTTATCGCCAAAGTCAAGTAGTTTTGATGCACACTTTTGAGTAGATTTGCCCACCAGTGCCTAACAAAGTGACAAACAAATACATCGACGTACATTCTTTTTTCTAGTAAAAAATATTCGAGTAGCCCATCGTACTGCGTGTACTCACGCACAGCAGGTCAGACATACCTATATTATTATTATAAACATGAAAGTCTCCGTTTTTCAGTTCCCTTAAGCTGTTAATCATCTTATTATCAGTGAGGTGTCTATTATCATGCAGGTCATGGATTTCAATTCAATTTATTCAAGTTTTAATGCAAGTATATATATATATATATATATTTTGTCTTCCTGGCTTCGTATCTACTGTATTCGCATATACGAGCACATCACTAATTTGGCCAATTCTTATATGTGCAGAGGTGTCTTTTTGAGCTCTTAAACATATTCCCTCATTGCTCAGTCTTTAATGTATTTATATGTATAACTAACATATTCTCCTGCTCTTATTGTATATAATTCAATGATGTTTATCCAGTATACGAACGTTTCTTGTGATATAGTCGCGTATATGTATATATTTTCACCGTTACTGATTGAATAGTTTTAGATTATTGCACTGTATCTATAATATATACTTTAACTTGTCTAAATGTTATATACTTTTCTGTAATTGCTAATGTCTATATATTTTATATTTATACGTATTTTTCCGGCATATCTGCTCAAACGCATATGTGACTTTTAGTTTCACAATGACAAGTTTTGTAACATGTACAAGGACTATAAACTTATCTGTGTTGTGATGTGAATCGCTCAGTTATTGCTAATAATAAATTATATAAGGCAAAAGTAGAATGAGGCAAAGAAACGAAGGTACAGCATACTCGTATAAACAATTCTGACTTTGGAAGGTGAAAATTACGAACAATTGTATCCATCAAACAGCAGTAAGAACAGGATATCCAATATTGGAAATATTGGGACACCTAGCTCTACTCAGCTTTTCTGAATCGTTGTCTCTATCCGGCAGATTCTTTTCCGAAAGCAAATACCCAGTTAAGCCTAATTCATTTGATATCCATACATTGTGCGTGCTGAGCTTCCTCAACAGAATCTCGTAACACTAAAATAAGAAATCGTAAAATTACTATTTATAAAGCGAAAGTGAAGTCCTTCCCGAAGAACTTTTACATACAAAATGAGAGTAGAAAGGACTCAAAGTTAATGTTTTAGTTTCCATCAAAAAGTTCTGCTTGTCTCCAACATTTCACATTCAATGTTGTTAGGTACAAAACTGCTTTTTGCAATTGACAAAAATCTTCTCCTCTTTGGGAAATTGTCTGGTACACTAGAGTTTATAAAGCGAGAGCCCCTCGTATATTTAAACATTTTATCTCATATTCATAAACAATCCCATGTTATATCTCCTTTAGATATCAGATTTGTTGTAACATTACAGTTGTAAACTCATTTAGTCATCAGGTTTGGTAACATATCGGTATTACTCGAAACACAGTTCGTAATTTAAAAAATGGCGTCAGTTAGATTGACTCCAGACTTCCTACGCCTTCGTTGGAGGTTTCATAGAAAAGGGACGTGTCAAATCGTTCCAAAAGGCAAAATTCAGTCGTGATTAGGTAGGTTTACGATGAATCTTCGGCCTCTTCATATCAAACTATATAACTGTTTCCATGGCAGATGTAGGAAAAACATGTGTGACTTATTATGTCTAACAGGTGCGTAGTATATAATAGAAGGTTTTTCACTGACACTAAATATGCAACAACTTACAAATATTTACCGCATACAGCTACTAACCTACAATTTTCATCACCTCCAAACAATATCTGGAAATGTAACATAGTAGGAGTGAAATATTTAAATATTATCGATTTCACCAGCGAGAAAGGGTTGAATATCTCACTGCTATGCCCTGCAGGGTTAATAACCCGGTGTTAAAAGCTATTTGCAAGTAATCTATTAGTGCAAGCTCAACATCCAAGGAAGGCGTTAATAGCTACTTCAAACATTAACCCATGAGAAATAGGTAGCTACAAGAATGGTTTTGTTGTAAGGCTCGTGTTTCTATGGAGGTCAGAAAGTTACGTCGCCTCGCTAAGTTTCGGAAGTCTTACACAGAGTCGATCTAGGGTGCTTCTGTTATGCCTACTATAAAAAAAGTTGACTCTGTACTTTCCACGCTACGCTGTCATCAGTTCGTAAAGGATTAGGTTTGCCACAAAACAGCCAAGAACATCTGTAAAAATTAAATGACCCTCCTTTCCTGAGAGAAATTGCTGCAGGTGCACTTGATATTTGCGATGATCAATCCCGCGTGAATGACGATATTTGCCTTCACCATGCACAGTGCACGCAGTCCACAGTAGTGTTGGAGTAAAACTGTAGGGGATATTCTCAAGTTATAGGCGGTTATAAAATTAGCGGAAAGAGCGACTGGAATGAGTGCCATGGCTTTTCGTGATGTACATGTCATGTAACATCCAAAAAACTGATTCTCTCATTTTCGTAATTACAATACTTCCCCGCAAGTAGGCGCCTTCAAAACAAGTTCTAGTACAATTTCCCATATAGTGCACTATTTGGGTTTTTCATGAGAAAAAAGGTTGATCAGCAATGAACGGTAGCCTCATTTCTTTGGAGCTCTACATATTTGTAATATAACCTCACGAAATCAAGTAACCTCGTCTGCTCGTATATATAGATATCGCGCCCACCACGTATATCGCATCACCGTCTCATCTGCGACCTTTTAAGTCCCTCGGATCCACCAAACATGCAATATTTGATCCCCATGGCGCACGACAAGTGCGACCGATACGTAAGCGAACCGTCTGCTGAAAACAATTTTCTGAGTTTAAAGGGCAAATTTATGTATCGATTCCAGTGAAACATGCCCATAGAAATGCTACCTGCTCATCCGACAGTGCGCCGACCATGTCGCAAGTTGACATATCCTGCCGTTCGCACACTCGGCCAGTCGCGGCAGCGGCAGCCTGGCAGTTAGACCATACCATATGTAGCCAGAGATTAGAGACTGGTGTCATTCTGAGTTTCAAAGGCATTTAAATGATGCGGTAAATATCTTTGATAGGTGCATAAAATTACCGGGGTTGGAAGTATACTAATATACTTACATCAAAAAATTGCGATACACTCTCCCCACCCCAGGATTCTTTGCCTCTAAAAAACGTAAAAAATTCGGGATCTTCTGAAACATCAAAAACGGAGTTTGAGCGATTTTTATTTTTTTTCTTGGCATTTTCTTCAGAAACTATTACTCCTTTTCGTCCTTAGCATAGTAGTAACCTTGCGTAGAAATTTCGTCAAAATCTCCCAACTAACAAAGTAGTGCTATAAGCTTTTGGTAAAAGAACCGTTCAGCCATAAAAGATCTCTATTGTTGTTGCCTGAACACCAAAATGCTGGCTTAATGTTGTGTGGAATGCAAATTTGCTTTCTGCAACATATTTGCTCTAAAATGAGGTGTTTAAAATATTCTTTAGCATAGTTATACAACACCTTATAGGACAAATTTTTAACTGTTGCATAAACGTTTATACAACTATTTTATATGGCATATTTGCACGTTAGTCAAAATGGTTGTGTTGTGGCATCCATGGTAACGTTTATAAAACAAACCCGAGTCTTGTTGTTTTGCTGTGCCTATTACTACTTTAGCCAACAAGTTGCTCCCAACGGAAACACTTATACAAGTGTTGTTTAGTAACTGTTAAAGGCTGTACATATGCTAGATATGTTGGTATACAACTTCACCATAACCTAACTTTCTGCTGTCATATTTTTGTTAAAATGCCATAACCAATGATTTAAGACAAACAATGCATGCAGATTGGTTCAAACGGTTTTATCAACTGTTCAAACAGAAGATATAGATCTGGTACAAATTCTGGGTAAATCATTCGACTCTGTCGGTATTTCATTTCAGACATTTGTCAAATTGTTGTATAACACCTGCAGGCAACACCTAAATATTCTAATAAACTGAAAACAACATGGACGATGCCATGATTATACACAACCACCAGCCATATTGGGCAAACATTTATTCCTCTATTTAATATTAAATAATTATGTTTCAGTTCGAAATTACAGATATAAAGTGATAAACATTAGTGTAATTGAGTCTAAATATAGGATTTGTGGAAGATTTGACGCAGATAAGTTCAGTTTTCCATCTTAAAAGTCTAGAGATACTTTTGATCATTATCAAAATATGCATCAAATAACAAGCCCGTAGAAATTGCGTAACTACTTTACACGATAATCACAATAAAATTTGCTGCGCAAGTAATTCAATAGCCCTGTATCACAGTGTAGAAGTTTATCATATACCTGTGTTTGAAATTCACAATGGCCGATATGTAAGTAAACAAGATGACTGTAATGTGTTAGTTATATATTCTTCACTTCGTCTATGCAATACATAAGAAATAGTTTGATTGCAATAAAGTAGAATCACGTCACATAATAGTTGTATAGTTGACAAAAACTGAATCTTGCACTGACGCAAATGTCCTATAGCGGCTGCAAGGGGCTTACAATTTTGTTGTATAAATGTTACCTGCAGCCCTTATACAACCGCTTGTATAGCTGTTCTAAGACGGTTTTGCCAATGTTCTTACAGTATACAATGCTCTGTAACGAATACTGTATAATCATTCTGGCAACTCTAATAGGAGTGATAATAATTGTTAGTTGGGCTGTCCAAGTTATAGACGGACCAAGTATTTGCGGATAAACCGACAGACAGACCGACAGAAATGACTATGAGTGACATGTTTTTTCGAATATTTAGAATATTTATGTCATATAACACCAAAAAAAAACATAATGTCTCGCTAGTAGCCGTGCGAAGTAAAAGCTATGATTTGAGTGTTTCCTAGGTCCAGCCATTTTTCGCAGTCAAAAAATGAAACAATGAACCGTTGTTCGTACATGTTTTTCAAATTATCGAACAAGATATCGTTATGCTGTGTCTTCAAAAAAGATTGTAAAATAAGAATAGTAAAAAAATGTAGGTCGTGTTTTTATCAATTTTTTTAACCAAATTAAAAAACATTGGCTTTTTTTGCTCCGGCCCAGGTATTTTTTTGTCATTTCGAACAAAAAATATCCTTAGTAACATTTTCTAAAGTTGACAGTTTTCGAGCTATTTCGGTTTGTTAAATCTAAAAAATCCTAAAAATGAGCATTTTCGATGCTTGGAAGCCCAGTTAAAAACTATATTTTTGAAATTGTCACGTTGCCAAACCGACAGACAGACGGAGAGACTGAGCGACGGAAATTTTTGACATGGTTTTTAAAATGTCATATAACATCCAAAAGCATAATATCTCATTTTAGAAATGTTTCGCGACTACAATACTTCCCCGGCGTAGTATGTAAAACGTATATATTCCTAATCCTGATCAAAACCGACAAAAAAATTGCCATCAAAGAAATTGTGCAGTTCTACATAGTCGGTAAATCTTCACCACTGTGACTGCTAGAAGCTGCCGATCGACACAGTCTAGGCCTGGTATCAGATAGGAGTTCGCTGTCAAAAGTATACTGAGATCTTTTTAGGTTCCGATAGCTATTATTTACTCTCGGAGTACTCGATTCTGGTAAGAGATGGCGCTTTGTGCTGTATTATTTCGATAGATCTCATACCTCGGACAGAGAATACTTGCTATGTTTTCGTTCGTTGACCACCTGAGGCCAAGCCTATATAATGCTGATGAGTTGAAAAAAGGCTCGGAACAACTGTCCATGCTTGGCTGTCCGTGAACAAATGGATGAAATCGTCAGAATCGTTTGTCGTCTAGTAGCGACTTAAACTGACTGAGAGTTTTATTTCTATAGGTGTTTCCTGTAGGTTTTATAAACAGTGAAGTATCGAAATCGTGATTACAGTAAATAATTCAGCAGTTTGCCTCTTATTCACAAGGCCCGCATGAAAAATGGCATTTTGGAAATAACTTGAATCTGTAATCACCTTCTGACGACAATACACATCTAAACTAAAGAAATGTTGTACTATCTGTATAAACTGGGTTATATAATACTGAAGCCGCCCCGAATGCAAAACCTCTTGATGAAGAAAGATTCTGATAATATTCTCTTAACCTAAATCCTTAAAGTGATTTTGCATTTTGCGACTTGATACGGCTCTGTTTTCATAATTTCGACGTGCTCAAGACTTGTGTCAAAAAGTTGTAATAACGTTTGGAAATTGTTGGAGAAAATTATGTCTGGAATTAATGCCTCGGCTTAGTTTGAAGAAGATTAATTGTAGGATTCGGAAGGGCAGTGGCGAGTCCCAAATGGAGGGTAAAAGTATAGATTCTTACAAAAGAAACATAAACGCTTGAATTTATTAATGTGAATTGAATAACGACCATACGTGGTGGAGGCGGAAGCGGGAGGTACTGTGAATGTGAAAATTTCAGAAATTCAGATGAATATTTTTTTGTATTCCAATATCTACAATACGTAAATCCTTGTGGGTAACTGGTTGCATTTTTGAAAATCGTCAAAATGGCAGCGGTGTTATGAATACAAGTTAGAATAGTTATCAGGTCGTTCCAAATTTTTGTAACGCAACCTTGTGATGGATAAACGTGGGGGCGTATTAAGAACTCCTATATACACCCCATGCCATAGTTCATGCCTGGAACCTCCCATACACCCGCAGCCAAATTGCAAAAGCACCAAACAAAGTCATGCGAAGAATGAACGTGGGAACGGAATAAGAACTTTACAACCATTCCTCGTATATACACCCTAAGTACATACCGAGAACGCCCAACCCACCCGTAGTCAAATTGCAACAGCAACAAACAAAGCAGTACAAATGGAAAAGATCAAGAGGGATTGTGCCATGAAGCGAGACAAAACATATTGTTAGGGGATAATACACGCGTCCGGTTAACACGCGTCATGCACGCGTCGGCCTACCTTTACCCGTGGGAATCGAGGTGGTCGAGGGGTGTTTCGGTGCTGATTCTTGTGGGAATGGGAATTGCGGCTATCTGGTGATGGAATCGTCGAAATATTGGGGGTGGCATATTTGTAATATCAAGCGGCTATGTGATTTCATTGTTTTACTTCCCACGTCTACTGGCGCCAAAAATTTCGAGAATCAGATATTATGTTTTTCGGATGGTATATGACATGACAACCAGGAAAGTGCTGCTCGTATTTGAATGAAATTTCCATATAAGGTTACTAGTATACCAAGGATAAAAAAATTCTATTTTTTGAAAATCAGTCTAATCGCGGCAGAGCTAGGGACAAAAACACGAAAAACATGAAAATCGCTCGAACTTCGTTTTTTGACATTTCAGAGGCTTCTGATCATTTTCAGAATAAATTTTGTAGCGGTTGAAAATCAGGGGGTTAGCGGTTGTAGGGGGTGGGGTCAGGTATATCTCATTTTGTTGGCGGCAGTATATTTATACGCTTCGATCTCCAGCACTCTTTCGAACCTATCAGTACATATTTCACACATAAGGGTTTCCCCGTATATTTTCCTTTATAACTTATAGAAATATTTATAGACGAGACACGCGATCGGAGACCATGCAATGTAACGACCATTCTCATACGCCGAAACCTGAGATGCGTCTGACAGCATCGCCTGCGGGCCTGCGCAGGAATGCTATTGTATCGTGGCTGGAGTTTATGACGTGTTTGACTGGTGTGGTTCAGCAACGTTTCCAGATGGTCAATACTTAGGGAAGGAAAGAAACTCCCGTCAGTTTGATGGGGACTATGGAATATGTACTTGTGGTATATGGACCTGTTTGACTGACTCAAAGGGACTAACTGCGGCCGAACATAATCCATTACTGATGACAGCGTTGTCTAGGAAGTGCAGAATCAACCTTCTTGACGCCAGTTTGTTTGTCTTCTATCGCTATTCGGTAGATTACGAGAAGAATATTTCCAACAGCTTCCCGAATATTATCCTTCAGTTACTCTATGATGTCTGGTCTGTTGACATAAACTGTTCTTTAGATATCTCCACAGAACTGATCGTAAGGGCGTTAAAACTGATAATCTTGGGGGACAAGTCGTGAAGGGAGAATCAAATAGCCGCATTGTTATCTACCTATGAACATGTTCATCTGTCCTGCTGGAACCTAGAATAAAAGTTGTTCGTTCAGACAATTGATTGATCTATTTTGCCAATCATATACTGTATTCCGGAGCTTAAAAAGTGGTCTGAAATACAGCGGCATCTGTCAGGCACAAAAATTAATTTAGAAATCTACTAAGGATAAAGCTAAAGTGTTTGGTACTGGTACTGCTTCTGCTTGATAGATGGCACCAGAGTCTTCAATCTCTTTATCGCGCCTATATAATGTCTGTTTTAGGTCTGTTTTAAGTGCGTATCTTCACCCGAAGATACCTGTGTTTTGGTTAGTTCTCAGTTCGCGTTTGATAGCCCAGCCACCACTGTGACTGCTAGAGGCCTACGACTTCGACGTTATAGTAGATGTGATCTACTCGCCATTGAACAACCAACTAAACCGCCAGAATCGACAGGCTGCAGCGGTCACAGTGATGACTGCTCTATCGAACGCGAACTGAAATCTTTACAGATCCAACCGATAGCTGCTATACACTCGCAGTAGTCGATTCTGGTAATAGATGGCGCTTTGTGGTGTCTTATTTCGGATAGACTATCATTTATTTATCTGTATCCATATTTGGAATATACCATATGTGGTACGAATATGTGTGCGTCCACAATAACATGATTTGTTATTAGCTTTTGTAGTGCTCTGACTGACTTATCCTATATCACATCTGTGATCATACAGGACTAATAAATTATTATTATTATTATTATTATTATTATTTGCTATAGTTGTATTGACCTTTCTTGGCGGGTCAAAGTAAAACTACCAGTATCCCTTTATATATCTGCATGTCTCTCATACACACACATGCAACCTACCCCTGTGAGCGAACGTTTGTTCGGTAAGCTCAAACACATACGTTTTTTAGTTGTGTGTCTCCGTCTCGAAAACTTTATCGTTACGTATGAGTTCCCTTCAATCATATTTATCAGAGTGACAACTTACTTGGCATCGGCGTGCAATTTTACTTGTCCTATTATCAATCTTCAATGTAAAATTTTACAATGCTCGGAAATACGATCTATGGAGAAGGCAGGCCGCCCGTGCTGAATTTATTAGAGTATTTCCAGAAAGAGAATGAAAACACCAATCCACTGTTACCCACTTCATGCGTACTGGACAGAGTAGCAGATGCACTAAAGATTAATCTACACCCATGGTACGGAGACTCGATCTGTTTACTTGTTTCATATGGCGTTGATGACGTAACCGCCAAGAACGGTAACTACGACTATATGCTTTCGTTCGTTGACCCACTGACTAAGCCTAGACCATGCTGATGAGTTGCAAAAAAACACGAAGCACCATGGTAAGCTGTATGTGGTCGGATGGACGATAGCATCATGTTGATTTTATTAACCACTTCATCAATCAGTTTATCATTATTAAAAAACGGTATCGCAGCTGGCACTTTTTAACAATATAACTAAAAACTCCAAGAGACAACATACTTTAACACTCTTTATTTTAGAATAAAATTCAATTAGCTTTTTATGGTTTCTTGCTGTTCGTTGCTATTCTTTCTTTGTACTTTCCTCTGAGAACTACCTTCAACGGCCAATTTCACTCTTTTTTCATTATTGTTCCAAGCCATGGTGTTTGAAGTTGTAATTATCGTGGTACCAGCAGCAGGCTCAAATATTTTTTCTTCTGTCGTCCTCGGTTCCTCGGAGGTTGTTTGGACAAGAAAAGGCACCTGAAAGCCGCGGCTGTACGAACTGTTTGCTTTTCATTTTTAATAAGTTTTATTGTGTTTACTTTGCCTACAGTGTCGAATTACAGTTAAGTTACGCATGTGAGAAAAGATAAAAATCGGTTTTTGAGAGGTTTAGGCTACAAAGCACATAAGTTGATCCCCATACTAAAAGCGGGAATGCATTATAATCCCAAAAAAGTCATCAACCTCGTATACAAGGTGTTATTAAAGTACTTTGACGAATGCCAAGCGCCGCTTCCTTTCGTCATCTTTTTTTTTTAAATTTCGAAAAATCTAAGTTACGTGTCTGACGGTTTTGTTAAACTTTGTTGAAATTTGGTAGGTGCAGACGTATCGCCGAAATTCTAGCTAAATGGAATAAATAGGAAATAACAATTTTTGGTATAAGCTTCTATTTTATCGTTAATAAGACATAAAAACAAAATATCTTTTTCTATCAAAGATGTACATTTTTATACTTCTTAACTCTTAAACGATAATGAAGCTCCTTCGTCTCAAGTTTTCAAAGAAAGTACTACACCATTTTTCTCCTCTTGTTGAAAATTCATATATTATAGTGAGTCAGTTCTTTTGTGAAAATATGTATTTTACCTGTTGCATATTCTATTTTATTATGTACGGTTCTCACTTACTTTAATACTAGTCTTGCCCACTTCTTAAAAGCTGCCTCTTATTGGATTTTATCGAATTTTGTCTTTGATGTTTATTGATTATTTTAATGAAATTTTTAATGTGTTGATTTTTTTACTGAAATTTTATTTTGAATGTACTTAGTTTTTTTCATTGAAACTAAGAGCATATTCATATACAACTGCAATTCAAAAACTTATGTTGCTAGATTTGTGCTGGCGACAATGTACCTAACAAGGTAACTAACAAAATGCTGCTTATAAAGCTTCGAAATTCAAAGTACTTTCGGAGAGAGGAAAAACGAATTTTCCCAAAATCGTTTTAATTCTTTCCCGACTTCATTTGTAGTGGTATATCAAAATAAATTGCACATAAGCATTACCACTTTCAGAATTTCAATATGAAGCTTCTCCTCCAGCATCAATTTTATTTTTTCTTATAGTCGCCATATTGGCTTTTTGCAGAGGTAAACAGAGTTTTTAATTCTGATTCCAAAAATGTATATATAATATGCCATATATTGACTTTGCCAAACCATAGTTATTTAAAAAAAAAAAGCAGAATATCCCAGGTAGGCCTTGAAATTATCAGATAGTCATTTCACAAAATATTTTCTCCTGACTTTATTTGAGATGGGATTCCAAAGTAAAATGCACGTTTACTGCCACTTTTTCTCCTCTACAAGGTGACATAATTAGAATTTCAAAATGACGTTTCATCTCTTGTCTTCCAGCATTAAGTTTATTTTTTCTTATGAACGCCGTATTGGATTTTTGCGCAGATGGATAGAGTTTTTAATTCTGATTTAATAAATTATTAATTAATTTGTATTTGTAGCCCTAGGTATTCCAGAAAAACAAAAGTTCCTAGGAGGGCCTTGAAATTATCAGACTTCATTTGTTTCGTATATCAGACCAGACCTCAAATTGAGCATAGAAACCGAGTTTGGAAGACACGAGGAATAAATCGAGCAGTGAACAATGTACAGAGAACCGATAGGTTTTGCCTACAAAATAACGGACAGCATTTTGAACATCTGCTATAATTTACATCTGCTTATTTATGATTATTATCATTACTGTCAATAAAATTTTCATTTTGTGTTCAGGTTCCACCGTACCTTTTAATTTCCTTCATCCAAGAACAAATTCATAGCCAACCAAGGAAATACACCACTGAATTTTTTATTACTAGGACTCCATTAAACTCTTTACTTTATTTTCATTGCGAGATTTTGATGGATACAAATTATATACGAGTATTATGTAAATACAGGATACCTAGTTATTCTATAAATATGCTTACTGATTTGATCAAAAAAATAAAATGTTAATGTTAAAAAGGTTAAATTTGACATGGCTATTATAGATGACTAGATTAATCATCAGACACTAGGATCAGATTACAACTTGTAAAGAAGAATCAAACGAATCACAATTGGATGGATTTGCATCATTTTATCACAGAGCTACCGGCATTCTTCATCATCACATCTGTCATAATAATTGTCGTATTAACTGCTGCCATATTGGATTTAGAATAAAATCACTTTGCTTATTGCGTTTCTCTCATCAAGCTACATATGGCTTTAGGAATAGCAAATCGCCATTTTGTAGCAGCCGCTATATGGAATTGAAAATAGCGGCATGTAATATTTCGTGTATTGTCATCACAACCAAACGTGTACACAAGCTCACTTGGTTAAAGCTCAAACAGATTCAAGATTTGTGCCACACATGTATGCTGACATGCTAAGGACAATTTAAGCAGAATCGAAATACTCAATAAAACGATACGTTAATCACTGATAAAAATAAAACTTTTCCGACACTAAGTTCACACTGTTTAAATGCAATTCCTACTTCCGTTGTTGGCGTGCTATGAATTCATGTATTCATTGCCTCACCCGTGGGAAAACTATTTCCCCCTTTTAGCAAATGCATTAATGATCTTAAAGTCGATCCAGCAAATGAACAGGGGTGAAATTGAGTCAGAAAGTGTATGGCGCTTTTATTCGCACAAATTATCTCTTAGTTGTGACAAAATGGATTACGGAGCCATATCACTTGCCAATCGTCACGTGACACTAGACGGCAAAAATATATAATTGATACTTTTTCAGTTATTCATAGTGAAATAATAAATTCAAAAAGAGTTTAGAAAAAACGTCCATCAGAGTCCGCTCTATTTCGAATTGTAGTATGTTTACCAGGAACCCAGTTAAGAAATATGTCACTGACTGCTACTTCCGCCATTATGATTTCGAAAGATTCGATACCAGCGACCCCAAAAACGGAGAAAACAACTGGAATTTGAGCGAAAGGAACTGCTGGATCCACCATTTTTATTTTCCAAAAATCGATATCAAATTCCTTATCAGCGACCAAGCCAACAAACAAAACTGGAATTGGCGTGGAATTCTAAGCATTTTTTATAAACATGTCCGGCACATTGGATCAGCCATTTTGCCATGCTTACAAATAGTTTAATTATATTAGCAAATTTCCCCTATATAATTGTAAAGTCTGTTTTTATCGGTGCAAGTCGTTCAAGAGGGTATTTAAAACATGGACGCATATGGGTGCACCAATTTTTGAGGGAAACCTTTTTATTTGACATCAAGGAACGGAAAAACGTGTTTTTTTGGATTCAATCGAAAGTCTTGACAGGAACGAAAAAACTTTTCAAGTAATATTTTCATGTATTTATGAGACCTACAAAATGAGATCACACGTGAAAAGATCCGACTAATAGCAAAAATATTATGGCCGAAAAGCGAGGCAAAATGCAGGTTTTGGTGCTTGTTGCTAGTAATGCGATGATAATTTCACGCAACTACTTGAAATTCTTCAAATCCGTAGGATTCATTCTTCTAAATAACAACAAAATTGGAGTATATTGGTCAAGTAGTTTTTTGAGACTCTCTAATTGTCTATTCCCAAAACACCTGTTTTAATAGCAATATTCACGAGTTTATCTTGCCAATATGAATCACAAACCATTCCGAAACATAAATTTTATTTTTATGCGAAAAACATAGGTTATTTTTTTCTTCTGAACACATTCAAACACTTCCTATTTGTGAGCAATTGAACAAATTCGCTACGATATTCGAAAAGCATACGTTACTAAACATATTTTAAAACAAAGCTAATGTGTCTATCACCTTTTGTTGGGCATTACTCACAAATACGATATGTTTGAGTTTGCTTAGAAGAAAAAACGTAACCCATGCTTTTTTGCATAAACATTTATCGTCCGAAATGGTCTGAGATTCTTATCGGCAAGGTAAACTATTGTCTTTTGCTATAGAATGCCCTTTGAACTAACGCTGCACATTGCTCAATAACCTAGTAGTGATGGCCGGAAAACAGGTATTTTGGGATAAACAATTAGAAATTCTCAAAAACCATTTGACCAATCTACTCCAATTTTGTTGTAGTTATAAGTACGAATTCTACGAATTTGACGAATTTCAAATATCTGCGAGAAACCAACGTCGCATTACAAACAAGTGCCAAAATATGCAGCTTGCCTCGCTTTTCGGCCATAACTTTTTTGCTATTAGTCGGATCTTTTTACGGGTGGTCTCATTTTGTTGGTCTCATTTTTTACCTGAAAATCTTATATGAAGAGTTTTTTCGTTCCTGTAAACATTTTCGATTGAATCCCAAAAAACACGTTTTTCCGTTCTTTGTTGACGAATAAAAAGTTTTCCCACAAAAATTGGTGTACCCATTGTATGCGTCCATGTTTTGAGTACCCCCTTGAATAACTTGCAGCAATGAAACCAAACTTTACAATTATTTTGCAAGCCAGGGGTATTTTCGTCTCATATGATTAGACTAAAATGGGTATCGTGCTCGTTATCAAGGATCTCGAAAACATGTTGATGAGGTACTTTGGTAAAATTTAGTGAATCTGTCAAGTTTGCCATGTCCAAGGACGTTTGAAGCATTGCACTGTGTATCTGTTAACAACTTTATACAAATATCGGTCTATGTCTAGTTATATTTTCTTTCATTTCCGATTAAACACCATGTTTTGGGATTGCGTCACTGGTACTTTTGAAGTCACTATTGATCAAAAAAATCTACGAAGTCTCTGAACAAAGTGTTATAAAGCCGTTTGTCTCATTCCGGGAATATTTTCTCACACGCTTCAACCCATGATCTTTCATCAACAACAATACAGACATCGAAACAGGACAGATATTGTATAGATAGGTCTATTATAGACTAAACCCACTCATTACAAGCGTTCGGAACTATCAAAATCCTCTTTCGTCAATTATCCTGTCAAATATACCTCAGATTCGTCATCCTTAAACAGAATTAATGTTGTCTTGGACGTGCAGTCATTATTTTTCTTCTTCTAACAAGAATGTCCGTCGACGTCCGCAGCTATTTACAACTATCATGGTCATTCATTATAATGATGTATCGTTATTTCCTAACCTTCTGATATGCGATACTCTTTTTAACGTGTTGCAGCATCCAGCAGGGCCATATGTTATCTTTTGGGAAATGGAACATATTTAGTTGCAATAAATAAAAATAATCAAAGCACTGCGCACTGGTGAAACTTCTGGAACTTCTAGTATGCAGTTGCATCATTGATCAATCGTTGTCGATAACCGTAAGCTTCTCTTGGAGGAAGAAAAGGAAACCTATAAATATTTCTTAGAATGGCAGGCGGATATGGCAAGGAACACACCAAGAAGTATTTGTTTTATACCAAAGCTGCCGTGCAGCAGAAGCCTGAATACCGGGGAATCGCAGCTGGTGTAAGGAGCTTTAAGGCTCTTTGTTAATCCGATTTTTGATTTGTCTAAGGTTAGCAGAACTGGGAAATGCCTCATCAGGCAAGATGTTACACAATCTCTACACCCTAGGTAAACACGGTTAAGATGGGAGGCCGAAGGCTTATCGCAGGGAGGCATCATGAAGACCAAAGCCCATCGTTCGTATTTATAGAATTTTTGGATCGCTGAGGCCGAATCTGCGGTCAGTTTTTCTGTTTTTCGAGGTCACATTACTATGTTTCCTTAGCCCGCCCTTAGACTTTTTAGTGCATCCTATGGAAACTACCTTTAAATGATCTGGTATGGACAAAATGACCTCAGAGATTCAGGCTCACTGACCCCAAAAATCTTCGTCTAATAGATTCAATTTCCCGACTTTCTCAATTCGACCATGAAATGATATCGAAACGCCTTTCAAATGACCTGATTCAGACAAAATGACCTCACACTCGGTATCAGCGATCCCAAAAACTTACGAGCATAACAGTTAAATGTCAGATTCCTGATTACTTACTTCATAAGCTGAATGACTTTTTACAAATCTCACCTAAAACTGACCTTCACTGTGGCCAGCAGAAGATTGCTGTAAGATCCGTTTGTGCTCAAGTCCTTTAGATATTTTATATACATAAAAAAAGTCTTGAATTTTGTTTATTTGATCAAAATTGTATTAGGCCGAAAACTAGCTAATGCTAAGATATTCAGAGATAATATCAATTAGTTCAGACACCTCTTGACATTTTTATATGCTTAGCCGTTTTAAAAATATCACAGCAATAAGGTGCAGCAACTTACAAATTATACCAGAAATAATCGCAACCAGAAATGTAAAACCTAAAAAACAAAGACAGTGGTAGCTTTAGAAGCCAACCTTCGGCTGAGTTATTGCAATACTTCCCCAAATTCTTCAAAAGCTAATCGTTCATACGCCCGAAGTCGGATCAAATTCTTAGCCCATTAAGTACTACATATAGCTCTAAGCACACTCATTAGTTCTACAAAATAATGTTTTTAAGTTCTATTTCCGCATCTAACTTATTTAACGGACAAAATTTTCATTTGCAGAATCATAGCCACCTATCATATACTTAACCTGCGGTTATGGCAGGATTCCATCTGTCTAAAAAAATTTCTGGTGAACTACCTGCTAAAAGGTGGTCCAGCTTATGTATTTAGTGAAAAAATACGTAAATGGAATGTATCTGTCTAACGCCGCACCGTTTTGCCGCCACCCAGAGTGAAATATGATACTTTAAAAGGCATCAGGTCTACATCACTCAAATGGGGTTGGCTGTCAAGTACTTTTAT